CTCTGATCATTATAATTAAATGGGCCCTTAAAAATGGAGTCAGATAGATTATTCCCTCCTAGGGCACAATCACTTTTTCTCCAGAGCTACATAAGGGAGATGTCTCACCCCTAGGGGTAGGGAGTGGAGGGAGATGGTAAAGCCTCTTTGAAATAAAGAAAATAAGAAAAAGAGGAAAGAGGAGATAATTTTTGTGTTTTTTTCCCCCTTAAAGTTAGAGAAAGTACAAAGGACTTGTACTTTTTGCATCTTTGACTATTTTTGAAAAACTTTTTATATAAAAATGGAGGAGTTTTTAAAAGCATGCAATATGTTTTCAGAGTTATAAATATATTTTAATAAATTTAGATTTAAGAAGATAAAAATTGGTAGTCATTGAATATATACTATTTCTCTAAAAGTCTCTCCTTTCTCCCTAATTATCTTTTTTTTTCAGGACAGGATAAAGAGAGAGGGTCCCATACCTTTAACCAACATCTCCATGCCCCTGAGTTAAACTCCTGGGTGATTTCTGAGGTTTTTTATACAGTAATTCTAAAATGTTTCTATTTTTATGAGAATGATAGTGTCCTTGTAGGACAGATGGAAGAACTGAGTTGTTTCTCAATTTATCTTAATGCTTAAAAATGCCTTTAGTAAGTACTTTACGTTATATTGTATCTCATATAGACATCTCTCTTTTTAAAAAAAAATATTTTTTATTGATTTTTCACAGAGAGGAAGAAAGAGGGATAGAGAGTTAGAAACATCGATGAGAGAGAAACATCAATCAGCTGCCTCTTGCACACCCCCTATTGGGGACTTGCCCGCAACCAAGGTACATGCCCTTGACCGGAATCGAACCCAGGACCTTTCAGTCCTCAAGCCGACGCTCTATCCACTGAGCCAAACCTGTTTCGGCTCATATAGACATCTCTTACCAGCAATGTAATTTTATTTCTATAGGGAAGAGTTAAGAAGTATTGAGAAGATGATGTTAATAAGTCAGCCTTCTTGGCCTAGATGCATTTACTCAGTCAACAAACAATGAGTGACCTCTGTTACATATGCCAAGCATTGGGCTAGGTGCTGGGAACTCAGAAATGACAAAGAATGATCTATGTTTGTTAGGAAATAAGGGCTCTTTGAATAATAGAGTATGGTAAGTATTTAATAAGGTTATATGGAAGCTTTGTCTCTAGGAACACAGCCAAGAGAGTAAATAGCTTAACCTTGGAGAAAATGGGAATCGTAAAAAATCAGTCCACAGAGGTGGTGGCACAATGTGAATCTTAAATGATGAAAGTTTTAATACTGAAAAGATGGGGAAGGGTAAATGTGACAAACTTTCATAATGGATAGTACCTAAAATTTAGGGGGAAAAACAGATTATTTATTTGGAGCAGATGTAGGGACAAATGAATTAATATATTATCGTTGGTTTTTATTAATAGAAAAATTATAAATAATGCATGGGTTTATGTAGATTAGACCTCTTTTCTAGCATTCTCAGACCTAACATCCCTCGACATCAAGAAGGGAAATGAAGAAAGTCTTTCTAAGACCTGTAACATTATTTTTAGAGAAAGACATATTTTAAGAGCTATCAGTTTGTTGAGAAAAATGAAAATAATGATGGCCAGACCAGAAATATGTTAAAACTATTTGGAATGTGTTCCTGACTTTTTTAGATTTGAACCTAAAAATACCTTAGTTTTAATACTGAAAGGTGTTTTATCAGCATCTTGAGACTTTGTATGGGTGCAGTTCCTTTCTGTCAATTCCAGGCTTGACCTGGACCTAATGAGTAAAAATCAGCAAAGTGACTGCAGGAGGGGGGCACCCATGTGATGGAGTGGCTTGAGACAGTGAGGGCCTTCATTGTCATATAGCTCTATAGTAATGAATAATAATATTTCTGTAATTCCACAACTATGGTTATGTGGTTTTCAGTGGGATAGTAGATAAAAAGGGAATGATTGGTATCATCAGCCCAGCTATTTCTTGGCTTCATTCTCTACCATTTAAGCCAGAGTTGATTTTTGCCTCCATTTCTAGTAAGTTGATTGCCTTGAATATCTCATATCAATCATCAGAGTTGTGAGTTTTTTGCTTCTTAGTTTCTGGTTTCATCCACTAGGCTGAGAGACAATGGGCCAAGACCATCTCAGAATGGGAGGGGGGCATGATTGTATTTGGCCACAACTAAGTAGCAGGATGCCAGCCCATCCAATTTCAAATACTGAATGGTTCAAATCAGTAGGAATAATTAGCAGCATTGAGTATCTTTGTATAATGATGTGTAGTATTCTAATAGTGGAATTCTTTAGTTGTTTAATTTCTTGAAGAACTTATAACCACACGATTTTTGTGAGACATTGAGTAAATGGAGAACCTGGAGGAATGCCACATTGTCATTCTTCATAAATTTAATTGAAATGTTTCATGCCTCCCAAATAAAAACTGAGTCTAAAGAAGTGAGGATAACCAATAAACTTTTGAAAAAGAATAATAATAACAGAGACTTGCATTGTCAGAAATATTAAAATTTATCTTAAGGCTAGAATAATTAAAGCTAGCGTATTATGAAAGAACAGAAAAATCTATATACTAAAAGCATAATACGCTAATTAAACTGGACAGCCGAACGACCTTCCAGATGTCATTCCGGATGAAGCCGAGGTGGCGGGGGACAAGGCAGAAGCAGTTAGGAGCAATCAGGTCCTGTCTTCACAAAGCTTACTTCTGGTGGGAACAGACAGCAAACACATACATTATGAAAATATATGGTGTATTAGAGGGCGGTCAACGCAGCAGGATAAAACAAAGCAGGGAAGGGGGACAAAAATTGCTAGGGGAGGAGTGCTTACAGTTTTTAAAGGGTGGTCAAAGGAGGCTTCACTGAGAAGGTAACATCTGTTTAAAGACCCAGCAGAGATAAGGGATGCAGAAGAGCATTCCAGGCAGAGGGAGCAAAAGCCTGTGAGTGTATTTGAGGCCACTTTGTGTTTAAAGAACTGCTGGGGGCCTCTGTGCTGGAGATAGAAAGCAACTGGGGGAGAAGTAGGTGGAGATGAGTTCAAAGAGTATTAGGTTGTTGCCCAAGACTTTGGGTCTTACTGTGAGTGAGATGGAACTCTGGGAGGTTTTTGAGGAGGAGAGGGGCATGAGCTGACCTACGTTAAAAAAAGAGAAAGCCTACACTAGAGGCAGTGAAGGTAAGTTAGGAGAAAAGCAGCAGTGTTAACCACACCAGAACATGATTCACAGTAATCATGGCGTACGTTCATAATGTTATTTATCCTCCCTTGAAAAACTTGCATCAAAAGCCATTTTGCTTATTCTAATGTGAACACAAAGAAAGAGTTTACTTGAGGGTTCTTACTAAATAACGTTCTTTCCAAAAGCATCTCTGAATTTTTTTTTAGCAGCATGTCTATATCAGGCTGCAACATAAGTACATCCTGTGAGATTTGAAAGAATAAATTTGACTAAGGGCTTGTGAAGTGGCTTTTATTACTAGAGAGAAATTTTCCTAAATGTCAGTATATGGTGCTAGTATGGCAACATACTTTGGTTTTCTCAAAATAAAGAGATAAATCTATCCTATTTTACAGTTAATAAAAGGTATTCTTCAGCCTTCTGATATTGTCTCCTCTTTCCCCCTCCCCCCTTATGAATTTGTGGCTCTAATAAAAGATCTTTACTTACTTGTGGTGAATTCTGCGAACCATTTGTAGTGAGACATGTTGGATCCGCTAATGTGAAATGACAGCTCTCTGTCTGTCTGGCTCTTCATTTCATGAACACATATAGTAACTCACTTATGTGGAATAGTAAGCATGTCTTTCCCAGCAGGCAAGATATTTGCCATACAATTATTAACCTCTGGTTTATTCATGAATTCCTGGGGTCAGTATTTTTCATTGAGTCTAATCAAGAACCACATCCTTTGTGAACCGGCTCTTTAGTTTCAGACATAAATCCTTTAGATCAGGAGTGGAATCTTCCTGGGTTAGTGCGGCACACTGTGATGCACTAACTTACTTGCCTGTGTGCAAATGGAGAATCATTTCGTTTTAGAAACTGGATTTTTAAATCAATTCTCATCAGTTTCCAAAGAGAAGCTTTCTTAGTCCACTGGACTTCACAAAGTGATGTGAGCATGGATTAGTTGAGGAGAGAAAGGAGAGACTAACTTTTACGGAGTGCCTCCTGTATGCCAGTAGATAACACTTGAGCCTCACACAGAGACAAGGGAGGTCAAAGTCATTTAGCAAGTGAGTGTGGAAATGAAATTGGTACCAATGTCTGGGTGACCTCACAGTCTATGCTGTCTTCTCAAAAGTACTCACTAGTGCAGGCAGGCATAAACAGTATGGTAACATCAGATGAGTCCCCTTTTTCCATGGTCTTATTTCTCATTCCGTTATTTCCATGAGCTCTGTTTGGAACCCCATGGTCTTGTGAAGTCTTTCTTGTGTCACTTTGTAGCTCTGTCTCTATTGTGTATGGATTTTTAAATGTAGTAACTATTTACTATTAACCGAGCTTTTAAATTCCAATGGAATCCTATTACTTTTGTTTTCATTTTAATAAGATGAACTTTTGTTTTAATATATCACACTTTAAAATATATTACATCATAAAGACTTCTTCCTGAGGTAATGAAGCATCAGTTTGCAATTAAAATCGCAAAGCCAGTAATATTTAAAGAATATATAACATTACAATGTGAATCATGTATTATTATTTGTACCTAAGGGTCTAAAAAGTAGTCATTGATTTTTGGAAAGAGAACTGATTAAGGAACATTCAGCCAACTCTGTGACATTTGAATTTTATTGTGGGACTATTGTGTTGTCTTTATATAATCTCTTGGATCACCTCATGGTTGCCTGAAATTATCCTGGTCTAAATTTTATATCAAATTAGGGGGTAAAAAGAGTTTGGAAGGATAATGGCATTAAGTGCTTAATTGCCATGTATTAATTCTCTCCCCATTTGTGTTTTCTCCCCAGGAGAAAAATTCAAAGTGGAAACAAAGACCATTGCTGCTGACTTTGCATCCGAAGATATATATGATAAAATTAAAACAGGCTTGGCAGGCCTTAAAATTGGTGTTTTAGGTTTGTATCTTTGCCACATTTACTAATATGTATTCTTTTTGCATTTATTGTTTGATTTTTACAATGACTGTTTTCTTTTTTGGAGGTTAGGTGCTCAGTTGAGAAAATGACTAGTGAGTCAAAAATTATCTTATTAATACAATTGATTATTAGATTATATTAATCTATAGTTACTTGAATCTTTGTATTTTTAATTATATTTTAATGGCTATTCTGCATTTGGTTGTTTTCTCTGCTTGCTTTATTTCCAGTCTCTCATTCTCTGTATATATTTATATTTATATCATAATAATCCTTTAAGGTGGAGGATGCTGACCCATATTTACAGTTGAAAGACTTAGAAAAGCATTGCTCATTTATGTATGACTCATTTATGTATATATATTTTTGTTTTACACATATAAAGAATAAGATATTGCCAAAGCCAGTTTGGCTCAGTGGTAGAGCGTCGGACTACGGACTGAAAGGTCCCAGGTTCGATTCCGGTCAGGGGCATGTACATTGGTTGCGGGCACATCCCCGGTAGGGGGTGTGCAGGAGGCAGCTGGTCGATGTTTCTCTGTCATCAATGTTTCTGGCTCTCTATCTCTCTCCCTTCCTCCTCTCTGTGAAATATCAATAAAATATATTAAAAAAAGAAAGAAAAGAAAGAATAAGATGTTATGCTCTCTAGCCCCAAACCAATTTTTAAAGATATTTTTATTTACTTTAGAGAAGAAGGGAGGGGGGGGGGGAGAAATAAACATCAATGATGAAAGAGAATCATTGATCTCCTGCCTCCTGAACCTCTTAACACACCACCACACACCCCCCTCCCCGGGGATTGAACCTGCAACTTAGCCATGTGCCCTGATTGATAATTGAACCATAACCTCCTGGTTCATAGGTCAATGCTTAACCGCATTGCCATGTTGGCTGCGTCCCAACCAATTTTTGTCCCCTTGGGGGAGATATCACCCCAGTTGAAAGTGTGGCTAGAGAGCTTAGGGTCTTGTGTAAGGTCTCATAAAGACTGAGTGATACAATTGGCATTCAGCCCTCTTTTTTTTTTTTTTTTTTTTTAATCTAAAACTGCTACTCTTTTTTGTTACACCTTGCTCTTATTACCAAAAACCAATGATTTTTTGAGATATGGAAATATTGTACCTTGTTGTGGAAAATATTCGCCAGCTTTTAAGGAAAGAACAAGGGCTTTGAAAAGTTACCCAACATTCTTTGAGCCATTTCTGGGAAGAAACAGAGTATGTAGTTCAGAAAAACTTTCCTCTCCTGAACCTGTTTATCTCACTGCCTAAATTGGTGTGAACCTGGGAATCGCCATCATCTTCTTTATTGGATTATAAAAGGAGGAAAAACAAAGAAAGCTTTAAAACAGTTTTCTAACATTTCTTTATTCACAACCTCACCTCTTTTACTCATACTATAAAAGAATGGTCTTTTATATAATTTCTTGGTAATGCAATTTACAAACAAGTTAAACATATATAGTCCTACACAGTGCCTTAACCCAGGCTTAGCCATGTCATCTTTTTCAGCTCCTGCCTGGTCCACATCACACATCACCATGCCCCACCTACCTGCACTGCTCCCTCACTTATAGTATAGCCAGTAGCAAAATATGAGAGAAGACAGAGGTCTAGTTTTTGCCTTTTGTCTACACGTTCTTCTTATGTCAATACTTATAATATTGCCTGGTGTCTTTCATAATTCTCTTTCCTCGGCTGAGATCTGGAATACCTGCAGCATCACTAACATCTGTAAAATTGTTGACTTTTTGAAAATTCTCAAATCAGTAAGTAGCAGGTATGACTTATTAGTTAGGATATGCACTGCCATAGTCTATCCTAACCCCTTTCAAACTAGGCAAGTCCTGAAGAATCAAGGCTGGCTTAGGCAGAGACATGGATTGAGGAGCTCTAATGAGCGGAGATACACCTTCAACTTGTGCTCTTGGAGAAGAAAATTTTCTTTCAGAAGTAGTTTTGTTAATCACAATTGTTCTTAGCTGAACATACATTTTAGCTGCTTTTCACTGGGTAACTTTGAACTATAGATACTTAGAGCCGATGCCCTTGAAGATGGAAATGTTGGGCATCTGGTCGCTGTTGGACTGCTGGGTTAAAAAAGGCGTTCTTCATCTGTTCTTTCCTGACTCAATATATGTAAAGTCTACAGTATGAGTTTAGGCACAACAGACAGATCTGTTAAGGATGGGAATAGAGGGCATGTGGTTCTGAAGCATGTTTTCCCCACTTCTAAAATCCTAGGACTTGTGTCAATACGTAAACATTGATATTTAGACATGAGGACTGATGTTTTCCTAGACCACATATGCTAATGGAACCATTGTTTTTGTAGTCCAGCTCCTTAGTAAATTGCCATAGCAGTTCATATTACATTCATTCATTTATCAATGAACTGGAGATACAACAGTGAACAAGAAATACTTGATATTATGTAGTATAATGTTCTAATGGGAAAGATAACACTTTAAAGTTATATTATGATTAAATAATTCTGATTGAATACTTATTGAGACATACACACAACATTATTTTTTACTTCTACTTGGTTACAGATTAATAATAAAAATAATTATAGGTAATATTTACATAATCCTTTAAAGTTTATAGCAGTACTTTTGAATATATTATCTTATTAAGTGATTATCCATTTAATTTTCTTTCTCCTCTACCACACCTGTCTCCTTAATCATAAGCTTTGCATAATTATTATTGACAGTTGTTAGCAGATATCTTATACTTACATTACATTATAATTTTAGTTTGTCAAGATTTTTGAGAGAATTATAAAGACACCTTTATGAGCTAATTTTATCTTATTGCTAGGTCATATTTCAACTCATAGTGTAGGTATAGAACTTAGGGGCGGTACAGTGTTTATGTTTTCTTCTTATGATTACCTGGGTCTGTAGTCCTTCACCTTCTTTCTTCCCTCTCTCATCCCCATCCATATCATACATGCCCCCACCTCTATCCAATAAAGGAGAAATAACCTTATTTTCCTACTTCTGCTTAATGTCAATCTCTCCTGTCTAATATTCCCTTATTTTAGGGAATTGATTTCTGGTAGGATCTAGCAATCCATATTAAGTTACAGGTAGGATTTTTTTTCCTACTGATTATTAACAAAACCAGTAATGATAAAAAGAAAAATAAATCACCATGGCACACCCCATTTGTTTGAATAGCATTAACCACCAAAGTATAGTCAGTACTTAATAAAGAAAATTAATATTTCCTGAACTACCAAGGAAAATGCTAAAGCCCTTTGTCATGAGAGAAACATTAAGTTTTCAATAAGATAAGTGGAAGGAAAACAGCCACAAATTGTGTGAATTCATACTGAAAGGTCATGGTAACTTGATAAGACTCTAAATGCATAAAGTTGAGGAGTTGGATTTTTAATGCTGTTATATAAATTAAGTAAGCATCTGCTCTCTTCTCTCGGGCAGATGCCAGGAAACACAGAGTTGAGAAAGCTTAAAAAATTTCAACTATTCAGAGAAAATGACATCAATATTGCTTTGAGTAAGCAAACAATTGGTTAACAAAATGGGACTGCTCTAATGCTTACTTGATTCCTCAAGAGACTCTCATGTGTGCTCCAAATTGGTTTGGAGGACTTTGCACAATGCATCGCGGGAGGCATAATTTACCAAGGCCAACAGAGTAGCCTTGGATTTCAAGTATGCCACAGATAATACTTATTTCAAATTACACTGCTATGAGTTTTTAACTTTTAAAAAAGTGACATTCTTTATTTTAGAATTAAAAATAGAAGGGTCTTTCTGGAAAAATATAGTTACTTAGTTTGTGATTCATTTAATAAGTAAGTCAATCATAGCTTTTAATGCATCCTACCCTATATCAAGAATTTCCACGCCAAATGCTGCAAAGATCTTCGGCATCCCATACTGTCACCGTTTATATAAGTTGTAGAAACCAGAGAGTCCATGGGTGCAGACAGGGAGACTTATGATGTCATATGGTGCTGGCTGAGTGTATTCAGGCCTATTTATTTATTGTTAAAAAACAAAATTAAATCGAGTAAATGTGAAGCTCTAATTGGCCCTATTAAGGGATTCATGAATTGGGCAGCATCTCATCTAGCAACTAGAAGGGCATTCTGAGTGTTGTACAAAATGGAAGGTTTTTATAGGAGGAAGTGTGGGGCAAGGGAGCTATTAATGAAAGGAAAGAAAGGATTATGTATCTGTTTATACTTAAGTTTCCAAAGCTTCTTAACAAAAGACCCATGGGTATTATTAGCTATTTGGGGGAAGGACCAGTTAGCTTACAAATGGCAAATTCCCAGGTAATTAATTGGGATGGCTTTCTTAGAGTTCAGTCCCTAAAGTATCAAAAAGAGAAGAAATCAATGTAGGCCAAGGAGAGGGAGGAAACTGTCTCTATCTTCCCCCAAGGAAGGATACGTGCATACCAGGAAGTTATGCAGCTTCCCAGTCTCGATTGATGAGGGAAGTTACAAGAAGAGTGTTACTTTGTCTTCAGAGAGTTTAGAATTATACAGAGCTATAGGTTATCTTCTTGCCATTCTTAGAATTTTACTAATAAGAAATTAGTTTTAAATTGCCTTTTGAAATGTAAGTAGTTCTGAAAGAACCAATGCCATCTTCTTTATATCTTACTAGAGGTCTGGTGCACAGATTCATACATGGGTGGGGTCCCTTGACCTGGGTTGGTGATTGGGCCAATGGAGCTGTCCAGCTGGGGGAAGAGATCATGGGAGGGTGGCTGTGGGAGCACACTGAGCATCAGGGGGCTGCTCCTGCATTGAGCATCTGCCCCCTGGTGGTCAGTGCGCATTGCTACCGGCCAGTCATCTGCTCGGAAAGGTTGCGTAGGCTTTTACTTATAAAGACTAGAGGCCCGGTGACAGAATTCCTGCACCCTCTCCAATCTGGGACATCCCTCTCACAATCCAGCTGGCTCCCAACTGCTTGCCTGCCTGCATTC